AATAATCATGACTAAAAAATTTCAATAGGTGGTTGAATATAAGGAAAAAAACGTAAAATTTGTAAAGCAATACTTTTTAATGAATTTTGACTGATTATTTTAACATTTTTCAAACCAGCCCTGAATATGTCAAATGATAATTCTATGAAGGCGTGTATGTTTTGTGACGAATTACATCAACCGATGCTTTATCTGCATTTAATAATATATTGCGGACTTTGAATGCACGTGTAAAGAATTTTGATTGATTAGAACTACCAAAAATCGAAAACGTAGAAAGTAGGTTATTAAATGTACATAAATTAAAATAATGGAGTTTCTTCTTACAAACTATAGTTCCGTGTACAAATACAACTTTATGGATGGTACAAACTCTTCATTTGTGATGTCAATTTTTTTTAAAGTATTGCATAGGCAAGTGAGGAAAAACATGAAATGGGGAACAACTTTTTCCAATGAACTAGCGTGCACAGGATCGATTTCTTCTACCATTAGCGGAATGTGCAGCTTCCCCGTACCCTTGAATTCCAAGAATTTATTGCAAGAAATGAAGTAAAGTATTATTATAATGCCATTGAGACATTACAAGTTAAATTTATTCATTTTCGTTCAATCAACTGGCAAACCAACCGAATTTACAGTTCGGTGCCATGCCGACCAGGTTTTGACATCAACTGCAATTTTTTTTGTAATTTTCGCCAATATATTGCTGCTTAATGGAATTTTAGTTTATTAATACAGGAATAAATTTCACCTAATTTTTCCTGTGAAGCTTAAACCTCTATAGTGAGTGGATTGCTTGATGCTACTTCGATGTTGGAGATACGTTTCGCTGAGCTACTATAATGACTGAGTTTCACGCATTTTGAAACGTCGTATTTTTCGCCATGCTACATTGTATTTTAGAACTGGTATAAATGAATGTTTTTACCTCCGCTGATGGCAATACGACGATCTCTTTGAAGGAATTATGGCGCGCCATTCCAGCCATTCAATCACGAGAACTAACGATAAATCTCAGTTATTGCACGAACACAATGTGAACGATAGTAAGCCACCATTGATCCTCGAATTATTTCAGTACTGATATTTGATGATCCTTCGCTCGCCTGATTGTCACTTGAAACGCAATACGAGACTCGGCGCGTCTTGAAAGGCCTTAGGGCTATTGGGAAATACTGATTTTTTCGCCAGATGAAATAATAAAAAAAAAGCAGAGCTTCTGGCCCATTGTGTGACCTTCATTTCTTGCGGTGACTGCATTCCTACGAAATGTCTTTTGAAAATATTTTTTTTAGTTCAGGTTTTTCTATGGACCTCTGGGAAGATGGGTATGGATAGAATATATATTTATATAAAATCGACAACCTCTCGACCATGAACGGCTGTGTGTAGAACTGCATAAAATTAATGATAGCTCGTTCGTGAAAGGTGTGTGTGTTGAGACAAACAATGAAGTGATAATTGCATTCGAATAATTCAGCTAAATTTAATAAATTAGTTTATATTGTTCTAAATAATTTTCTGACCATTATTGAAACTAATTCTCCGAATGCAATTATCGATGCCGGGTCTGCTTGTATAAACACAAATCTCATGAGACATCTCATCGATTTTTAATGAATTATATTAAAAGCCGCTCATATAGTCCTGGGGCTGTCGGTTATAGATTTCCTCTATTCAACTCATTCCTTAAGAGCAGCACGGATAAAAAATAAGTAGTCAATATTTAAGCTCGTTCTTCGTGTGTCATCAACGATCAATAATAATTGTCAGTAGAGGCACAAATTTTACGGGAGATGTCTTCTCCTATTTAATTGATGCGATACGAAACTAATTGCAGGAAAATTTTTTCGGTCGCTGATTGAAAGATCAAAAGCAATGATTGAAGACCAGGATTTTCGAGCCATAACTATTAATTGAGAATAAAACTTTTGATGCATTCTAGAATCCAAAAAAGGGAATACATTAAATTTCAATGTTACACCTTATATTGGAATAAAATTACGCGTTTCAAGGTACATTTTTGTCATGCTGAAGTCAGTGCGACCATTATATAAGATTGAAATGAGGTAACAAATCTACACTGCACTTATCTTATTCAGGTTTACTGTCGTAACATGAAAACTTCTCGACGATTTGTCAAGAAATTAAATGATTGAAGAAATAAATTTCAGACCTTCTTATTCGCTTATTGTAAATTAATACTTTGAACGTTCATCGTCGTTCAATTTCATTGATTACCTTTCGATTATCAATAATTATTTAATTATAGTTATTGATGATCTTTCTTAGCTAGAAAAAATCGCGCACAAAACTTGCAACCGAAGAATTTAAAGTAGCAATTTCATTTGGAAGGCAAAACTAACACTAGAAAATAAAAAAAAAGTATTTAGTTAATTTTTACTCACATTTTTCAGTCGATTTTTCTGAATACTTGTCGAGGTGGGGGCAGTGGGCAGCTGAAATAACAATTAGTTAAATTTTATTAAAAATTTACCTTATTAATTGACACTTCAGAAATAAATCAGCAATTGAAAGAACAGTTGCAGGAAATAATGCAATATCAGACCACAATCTGTGGCAATCTTTGATCATATATAATTATTCGTCCTTGAAATTTAATTGATTGGCACATTAAGTGCAAACTGCAGCGCAGACACAGCGCACAAAATGCACGTTGGAGTGATGAGCTGTCAGTGCAGGCACGCATCAGTCCGCTGTTAGACAAGCATGGTGGGATAGGTTCTCTGTACTAAAAAGAAATAAGAACTGCAGTTATTGCTGCTCGATGCCAGTGATTAGCCAATACAGGAAACGCTAAGAGAGATTTCTGAGAAGCAGTTGTCTGCTAGATTCAAATGCCAGTTTGATGCATGTAATTTGCCAGTGCTGCAAGCACGGTTAGATATATTTTTAGCGATGCAGCTGGCGTCGCATTGATAATAAGCATTCTAAGATTAGATCGCATGAATAAATCAAACCTAAGCTTTCATTTTGCTGAACCAAACCATTGCGAATTGGTACAACTACTAACGATGGTCGCAAAACGTCTGCGAAGTTTTGAATGCAATCTATTGTTTATGTTAATATATATCAGAAAAAAATAAATAATAATAACCATGAATAACGTCTGCGACGTTTTGAATGTAATCTATTGTTTATGTTAATATATATCAGAAAAAAAATAAATCTCATTCATTGAAGCCGAAGCTCTCGTCAGTGATCGACTATCCTTTTTCACTTCGCGAATTTAATTAGGAAGATTTTCTCCGAGACCGTGAACTTGTGTGTGGTCGTCGCCCAGCAACAGCGAACTTTTTAGTCATCCTCCTCGTAGCTCTACTTAAAAGCCCTTTGTGTTCCTTCCTGAGTGTAGGAACACGTAGCGGCTCCGCTGAAAATTATAAGCGTCACACCTTTGGCCGCTTGATGGCCGATGGGGGGCCGTTTCTGTCCCGGCCAAAATTTCTGGAAAGTACCTTCCATGAGATGAAACCATCGCCTGTTTGGGTTTTGTTCTTGAAATGAATCATTGTCTAACAAATGAAAGGGTAATGAGGCAGGGCCGTGTGGTCATGAAGCATAAATAAACGAATGGATGGAACGGCCGGCACTAAGCTTATGAGTATAGAACCTAGGCGGCCGCCATACATGTTCGGGTCATAGAGTTCTCGCGAGGTTCGTTGCTCGTCTGCGCTCATTAACTATTAGCAAGATTACCAAGCATCGCACTTCCTGGTTGCAGCTCTGGTTTCTCATCAAATTGTAACCAACATCGGTAATTTTGTTGTTGGTTTAAAATTCAGACTCTGCTTCTATTGCTTCAGAAAATTTACTTCTCTGTATACAACTTTCCTTTTTAGCGCATTTTCTCATTTATGGAAAAAATGCACTAATGTGCTCGCCATGTCCGTCTGTCTGTCTGTCCATCCGTCTGTCCGTCCGTCCTTGACCTCAAGTTTTCGTCGACGAGAAAATGCGCTCTCTGTCACTCACTGCAGTGATTACTGAGTTATATTTTTTTATATTTAATATAAACAATTGACAAACCTCCAGTTAAAAAATACGTGAAGGACACATGAATAAACTGCAAAGCAGTGATCAACATTGCGAATAAAGTGCATCTGTCTGTTGCGCATAAAACTGAATGGGCGATATTATCAATTTATTAATGATATACTCGTGCAATTTGATTTGCAACTCATGAACTTCTTCAAGGAAAGATCCATTTATAGTTAAAAATTTTTCAACAGCTCGTCATTTTTACTTGCTATTCAATTCGCATCCAATCGAGTCCGGTCTAATTTATCCTATTTCACTCACCTATCTATTAATCGGGCAGTAAAAACATGGGATGATTTATTTATAACCTGTTGCAGCGCAGCCCATCTTTGTATTTATATCAAAACTTATGGAGATGAGTGGGACTTTTTCCAAATAGCGATGCATTTTTCGCCCTCGTGTGCGTCATCCTGACCCAGTTTGGCTCGGCAAAAGGGTGTATCTGAACTTCTTGTAGAAACTGTGTCTCCATTAAGACACTATGACCTAATCATTTTTCTCGGTGAACAAGAGGATCAACTACAATCATTAAACCAGTAATCTTTAGTGTCCTGCAACCGATGCGAATTTGTACATAATATAAGTACAATAATATGCGATTAACACATTATTTAAAACCAAAATAATTCTTCATGTCCGTTAGTAGTGAAAGCAATTAAGTTGTTCCGTGCTCCAAAGATATTCTCATAGTTCACACGACTCGTTTACTTGTTTCCAGGGAGTTCCTAATTAAATTGATATTCTACTTGACTAAATTTTGTTTACAAAAAGATATTTAATCAGCTTCAGCCGCCCGATTTGACACAATATTAAGATTTTTACTTATACATTTTAATTTTTTCTCGTGCTGAATATTGCAGAATATTAAAGTATTTCAAAGTTTCAAAAAGAGTTTCAAAGTAGACCTAAAATATTTATTTTCCTTGTCTGCGCAGCGCGGTTGGTGCGTCTGGCATCCGAGAACGTGCGCTTCGTGATGGCGAACGCTCAGTGCGCCACACCCGTGCGCCGCTGCGTCGACCTCTCCGCCAACCAGACGACCAGCGGCAAAACTTACTGGCCCAGGTGCGTCTTTTGCCTGCAGGCTGGCCCAGGTGCGTCTTTGTCTGCAGGCTGGCCCAGGTGCGTCTTTTGCCTGCAGGCTGGCCAGGTGCGTCTTTGTCTGCAGGCTGGCCCAGGTGCGTCTTTTGCCTGCAGGCTGGCCCAGGTGCGTCGTTTGTCTGCAGGCTGGCCCAGGTGCGTCTTTGTCTGCAGGCCCAGGTGCGTCTTTGTACGTCTTTGCCTGCAGGCTGGCCCAGGTGCGTCTTTGTCTGCAGGCTGGCCCAGGTACGTCTTTGCCTGCAGGCTGGCCCAGGTGCGTCTTATGTCTGCAGGCTGCCCAGGTGCGTCTTTTGTCTGCAGGCTGCCCAGGTGCGTCTTTTCCCTGCAGGCACAGGTGCGTCTTTTGCCTGCAGGCTGGCCCAGGTGCGTCTTTGTCTGCAGGCTGGCCCAGGTACGTCTTTGCCTGCAGGCTGGCCCAGGTGCGTCTTTTGTCTGCAGGCTGCCCAGATGCGTCTTTTGTCTGCAGGCTGCCCAGGTGCGTCTTTTCCCTGCAGGCACAGGTGCGTATTTTGCCTGCAGGTTGCCCAGGTGCGTCTTTGCCTGCAGGCTGGCCCAGGAGCGTCTTTGCCTGCAGGCTGGCCCAGGTGCGTCTTTGCCTTCAGGCTGGCCCAGGTGCGTCTTTTGCCTGCAGGCTGGCCCAGGTGCGTCTTTTGTCTGCAGGCAGCCCAGGTGCGTCTTTTGCCTGCAGGCTGGCACCGGTGCGTCTTTTGCCTGCAGGCTGTCTCTTATACACATCTAGATGTGTATAAGAGACAGCCTGCAGGCTGAGCCCAGGTGCGTCTTTTGCCTGCAGGCTGGCCCAGGTGCGTCTTTTGTCTGCAGGCTGCCCAGGTGCGTTTTTGCCTGCAGGCTGGCCCAGGTGCGTCTTTGCCTTCAGGCTGGCCCAGGTGCGTCTTTTGCCTGCAGGCTGCCCAGGTGCGTCTTTGCCTGCAGGCTGGCCCAGGTGTGTCTTTGCCTGCAGGCTGCCCAGGTACGTCTTTGCCTGCAGGCTGGCCCAGGTGCGTCTTTTGTCTGCCCAGGTGCGTCTTTGCCTGCAGGCTGGCCCAGGTGTGTCTTTGCCTGCAGGCTGCCCAGGTGCGTCTTTGCCTGCAGGCGGGCCCAGGTGCGTCTTTGCCTGCAGGCTGGCCCAGGTGCGTCTTTTGCCTTCAGATAGGCCCGAATTGTCATGTGTCTTCAACCTAAGTCTTAGTCTTCAGAGGCTCTAAGGGTTATGTTTGTCATTGACCAACATCGGTGACTATAACATTTAATTTTTGCAACAAAATCAGCTGAATGTTTTAAATGAAATTACGGTGAAGTTTTTGGGTAGAAAAGTAGAAATAGATCAATAATTACTAACAAAATAACCTATACACGAACCTAAATAACCTATATCTAAAATATGAAATCAGTTATTTACACGATCTGTTCACATCATTATTTACATACCTACATCGGATCCTATTCTCACACATACCTCCGCTCAGGCTTTCCACAGCACAATAACCATTTCACCCTAACATTCCGCACCTTTCCTCCGGTTCACTCTAAACTAAAATGACAATTTAATATTTCGACAAATAAACAATATTACCTTAAATTTACTATCCCTTACAATGTTTCACACTTAGGACAGAATGAGAATCGTATTTGTCTTCGATGATTTGTAAGGAGTACAAAATTATAATTTGTAAAACCTTTACGTATCGTTTTTATGCAATCAATGTCATTTCGTTTTTCTTTCCACATTCGATTGGGGGAAGGAAGGATGAATGAACTGTCACATTATACTTGGTGTATTTCTAAAGCAAACGTAACTGAGACATAAATAACCTAAATAAAAAAACATAACGCTCAATAATTTGCCCTGCCAAGCAGAACCTAACATAACCTGAAACAGCCAAGGAGCATTAAACAAATCCTAACACAGATTAGCACTGCTCCACATAAACCAAAGGTGCTTTGTCTAACGTTGAAACCACGTTTAAGATGTTTAAACAACGTTTACGACGTTGAGACAACTTTTACGACGTCGAAACAACGTTTACGACGTTGAAAAAACTTTGATTACTAGTTGATTTTATTAGAAACAACGTCGAATCAATGTTATTTCATCGTCATATGCCTAGTGGGACACAACTCTACTGCATCTGATTAAAAATATAATTAAAAGTATATTTTAATTAAATTAATTAAATATATTCTGCTGCGCAGATGTGCGATCGTGTACCGCTGTGGAGAGGATGCTGGATGTTGCTACTCCCCTGAACACGTCTGCTCTGTTAAAGAATCTCACGACATCGACCTCCACTTCTTCTACATGGTAAGTCAGTGATTACTTGAATGGCGGGGCTACTGCTTATACCTCGGTAACTTTGTTTTCTTTTGAGCTGTCATTTATTTCTTCGAAGTTGTGAAGTTATACTTATCGATCTGCTATAATTGGGCGTCAACTTATGCTTCCAGGTTAAGTTAAACTTTATACGGTCTGATTTCCTACATTTGCTAGCTTAAATAAGATGGGATCTTTTTCTGCTTCTATTTCTAAGGGTGGAATCCCCTTATAAAATTTTCAAGATTATATTCTATTCAAAAACAATAGTCTATTAATTTTAGAAAATCTGCGGCTCATTTATCAAACGCGAATGGGCCAGGTTTGTCCATTTTTTTTTAAGAATTTAGCACAGAAACGATATTAGGATCCTTCAGAATTTACTTCTCAATCAAGTTTAAGTATTCGATCAATCTCAAAATTCGATCTTCAGTTCAGAGATTTTAAAACAAGAGTACTTAATTGTGTGGAAATGGCTTTACTGGAAACTTTGAAATAACTCACTTCTATGTTATTACGTATTGTCAAGCTAAGTTCTTAAATTCCCTGTTTTTTCGCAGCAATTGAAACGATCAATCCTTGAATCAATGAGAAATAAAATTTAAACATTTGATACATAGTTATCCATTCAAATTTCTTCATGTATAGACTAGGAATAGTAAATAAACAAGAAATTTTTTTATTAAATCGCGTTACACGCAGATTTTAAACGCTTCAATAACATTATGTGATTTGAAATATATACCTTTTCAAATACGTAAAAACTCATCCTATTTTCCAGACGTTCGGTACTGAAAAAACAGGCGTTGACAAACTCACTTTTGAGAACCACACGTCATGTGAATGCCGCCCTCGATTTGCCTTCGTAAATGGGTATGAATATCCTTTGCACACCGAGTCTCGCATCAACATACGACCACCTCATATGAACCAAGAGCAGCAAACTTCTGCTCCCTTCATGGGAAACCATTTTACCCAACAGCACCAAAGACCTGCTCATCACTCGGGTGATACTCTCTACCAGCCTTTAGCATCCTCTCATCAAACGCGTAATCGCTTGACACCAGTACATCACTCCGGGACTCATCACAGCACTCTGGAAGAAGATATACGGTTCACAAACTTTTCCTTGCCAGTTTCAACCTCCTCAGATCTGCCGTCAACGAATTATTATTCACCCAGCACCTTGGATGGTACTTACACAAGTCCAGTTACTCAAGATATGCTATACAACCTCGTTAGTGGCGAAACAAACCTACATTCTAGACTTTCAAGTACCGCGGCAGACGAGAATTTCTTACAGACCAGTTCCACTGGTCGCTCGGTCTCGTCAACGGCAATGCAGAGCGGTACTACCAGATCTTCGACGGCAGCAACGACTTCGCGGACCAATGCCATGAGACCATCAAACGCGGTGACAGCTGCGTATACCAGCGTAATAGGCTCCCCAGTATCAGAAACCATCAGCACTGAACGCTCCTACAGACAATATAACGATGCTATCATAGGCAATAGTTTGCAATTAGATGACGATCTGAGCCAAGTAGAAAGCGCACCTTCGATCGGTGAGTTCCGGAGACACCCCGTAGTGCCGGCGCTTGTTGAAAACGTGCTTGAGAAGGACGAACCTCAAGTTAGAATCGTTGAGCAGCCTGAAATGTCGCAAGAGTCTCAGAGATGGACGAATGAGCAACAAGGAAGGACGCGCCAACAAATCAAGCTCTCACAACCTGCAGACTTGCTCGCTCAGACCTACTTGAAAAACGCGCCTCTCACAGCAAAAGATAGAAACGAAAGAACTACTGCAGCTGTTCAAAAAGACCTTGCAGCTAAAAAAGAGTAAGTAGATGTTCAAAACAAAGTAAAGTCATATAAAGGCATAACGAAATAAATAATTACAGAAGGAAAGCTCTGCCTCTCCATTTTATTTCAAATTTCGTTTGTACTATCAATTCAATGGTTTGATAGTCATGATCAAATGCAGACAATAATTTGAGGTTAGCAAACCAACTCTTTTATTTTCCGCCTCGAATTCGTGTCCTTTATTCACAACTTTTTTCGATTCATTGTTGAACTAACACCTGGTCGACTACCGCCGAATTTGTCTGAAGCTTCTAAGAGATTTCATAGACACCGTTGTCTGATCTGCTTATCTGAATAGAGACAACTTACAACTAATTCATACACGACGCATTCCAATGTGTCATGCATTATTCATCCATTAACGAGTACTTTTTTATACATATTGAAAGATCTTTTGTCATTCTTCGTCCCTACTTTCACAAATTACATCGACAGTTCTCACACATTCATCTTTAATTTTTCACGAATTCTTCGGAGAGTAATTTTGCTTCGTCATTGCAACTCTTCGCCAGTAGTATAATATTTCATGTTTTCAACCTCTGATGTAAGAGATGTTGACCTGATGCTCAAGAATTAATGTCTTCTATTAACTCCGTTATCCTACAATTGTTTTGCAAAGTTGATATTTAACTGACAATATATTTGGAGACGAGTGTGTTGGACGTCCAAGTCTTGAATAATTCCAAGTAGTGAATGATCAAGAAGTTTTGGAAGACATTATCTTTGATGTTGTTTCAGTCATGCGCACAGAACTGCATTCTGCCTCTTGTGTTCAGGTGCCGGTGCCCCGAACTCTTCGTGACGAAAGCAAATCCACTGCAGGCAGGCGCCTGCGAGTGTGTGTGTGATGCCGACCGTGGCAACTGCCGGCGTCTCATGAAGGGACAGCGTTACTTCAAACCTAAAGATGAGAGGTGAGTGTTGTCTGTGTCATTAACGAAACGTGACAAACGTTACGCCAGACTTTAAAATATATCTATTTTGGTTCAAAATATATCTATATCTAGTTTGCTATTTTTGATACGGAAGTTTAATTTTCAACTATTTATTTATATACCATAACGTCTGTATAAAATTTCATGCCGTTTCTTTTTGCATCAGATGCATCATGTCAGGAGAATGTGGACTGCCGGCATGCAAGTTCGGCAACTTCATCACGGAGTACAAGAGATGTCCGCGCAAGCGGGAGATGAAAAAGCGCCGCAACCGAACCTCCGGAACTTGAACACGAAAATTTCTGCTGTGCAGATAAGGACACGGTTAACTGTTATTAAAGCGAAGGCGAAAAAATTGAATTTATTTTCGGTTCTTTTGGCGACAAAATTATTCAAGAAGTTACATCTTATACAACTTTTATCGTGTAGGTATGTTTTTGTGAATACTTCGAGGAAACTATCGAAAAAATATAACTCAATACTCACTGCAGTGAGTGACAGAGAGCGCATTTTCTCGTCGACGAAAACGCGGTCACTGACGGACGGACGGACAGACAGACGGACGGACATGACGAGCACAACAGCGCCTTTTTTCCATAAATGAGAAAATGCGCTAAAAAGAGATGAATGCTGTATTGTAATGATCTTAACCCATTATAATGCAATTTTTCAGTCTAAAGCATACAAATGGTAATAATTCTAGTATAATCCGCTGAGTTAGCTACTAATCATATTTAAAATTTGGAACAGGGCGACATAATTGACCTGGTGCTTTAATTGATATAGACTCGTGGCTATTAATGATCCTAGAACAATAAACCCAACGAAACACTGTATAAATTCATAGATTAATTTTACTATAATGTCGACTGGAATGCTGTATAAAAACGTCTCAAATAAAACACTGTATAAATTTCTTATAACAGTCGTTATGCAAAACAAAGGCTTACACTCGATAAATAATCACACAATTTTTGTGTGAAAATGACGCACGATAGCCCGTCATTAATTCGACTAGCAGTGAATGTGTTAACTTCAAACAAACTCGACAAGTGAAAGAAAAACATTTTGTTGATTTATTTAATGTTTGACAATAATACAGTACAAAGTGCTTTGAAAATCCATCCTTCTTATATTGGGCAATATAAAAGGGATTTACTGTTGAATAAATTTATTCCAATTAATGCAAGTGACGTGGCAGGGAACCTATAAATTTCGGAGCATTTTTCAAAATTATTAAATTTTAAAGAATGGACGATGTGCGAAATTGTGCATTAGGTTTTGTGCAACTGAGTGTGAAAAGTTGCTCAATGTATTTCTTCATTTACCAATGATTGGATAATGATATTAGAAACTAAGTCGTTAATTGTAACTTAGTGATTGTAAACATTATCGTCAGGAATTATTTATTTAACTTTAAGCCGCATCGTGTGGCAAAACTAATTATATGTTTGAAATCTTACCAAATCGAATATTCGAAGCGAATTTGCTCTTAGTTTGCCTTCAGTTGTTACGCCTTAGTTTGCTTTTAGTTTTATCTTGTTACATCTGCTGTACACTATTTTCTGCAACATTATTTACGAAATTGTAGATAGTTGCCGAGGATGTAAGCATCTACAGTATATTCCTTAACAAAAAAGTTTGCTTCTCCATCTTACATAAAATTCCAGGACTTTCAGCCATATAAGGCCCGGTAAAAAAGGAGTTTCTTTCTTAAAAGTTTTTCATATACCGAAGAATATTTATTTTACAAACTAGAATGCATTGAGCGGCAGCACATGTATTTCACAATTTCGAAAAACTCTGTTTTTTTACCAGCCGTTCGCTTCGTGAGAGACTTGTCCACAGTTGTTTGTTATAATCATGCACTACAGGAATGCATGTATAATAGAAATGAATACGCTGCTTTTAATATACTACCTGTAAACCCTGCAAAGGACTAAAAAATTTCCTTGTTGAGAAATGCCCCGTCTTTTTATGGTAGATTACAGATTCAAATCTATAGATCAAATCTTTCTGTAACCTAACCCTTAAACGGAAAAAAACGAAAATTCTTTTCGGTTAAGTTTAATTAGTATCATCTAAATCTAAATTCCTTTTACTTCCCTTAAAAAATATCCCTTTCTGCTCACTCTTTAAAAACTTGAATAAAGGTGTAACTCGGCACATTTTTGTATATAAAATCTTCACGTAAATTCATTTGAATGCATTTATCTTTTATATTCTTATAAAAGGTCGAGACTTATACATTTCATTTGATTTTATGTTCGAGGCGCATCACCATGTTCGATGTTTATGTTCTTCATAATTTTACTTTAATCTATTTCATTATGTAAATTTAAAGAATCTGCTAATTGTTTTGATCATAAATCGACCAATTAATCAAGCGTGGAGAAAATTACAAGAAAATTTTCCATTTCATCATAGAAAGCGCCTTCGTTTCCAACTTTCTTGAAAACATTCACAAAATGAAATTGTGAAATATCTGAAAAATTTATTATGTAGATTTTATGTAAAGTTTCTCTACCTATGCCCTCTAACGATATTAGTTTTGGTAATGAGATTCTTTTATGTGTGAAAGCATAACTATGACTAATATCATGATAGGTAAGTTAGCAAAGGCCACCTTTATCGTGTTTGAATATGTAATCGACCATTAATGTGCGATATAGAGCGAAACCACCAAATAACTTACGATTATAGACTAGAACCCGTATACCTCGAGTAGGATTATTAGAAGATCGCTTCTATATATTTATACCTCACGCATTTCTAACAAGTGCCTCTGATCGTCGTCCTGTATTTATTGTAGCCGAACAATTGTAAATAAATAACTATTTCTCTCGTGTGTGCTTTTCTTTTTAATCATTATTTAACATATCTGACAGCGCGTTATTTTTATGATACAATAAGGCACATTAGTCGCGTATTAGATGGTCAGGAACGAATGGAGGACAACAAATCAATAACGTTGCGGTGACGAGAGTAAGATTTAATTATTGAAATTTATTTTTATTTAGTGATGTTACTCTTGGAACTTAAGCTGCGTGAATTTCGTAGAGTTTTCTCAGAATTTTATTCAATTTGCTCTACGATTGATCATCCTTTGACTAGCAGTTAATTTTTCTACAAATAAAATTTTGTTTAGGATGTCAGTGGATTGTACCAAATATTATTCATCTGAGCAGCGACAGCGCACTGCAGTTTCACGTTGGGTTGCTCACATGACACTATAGCGAATCCCTTAATATTCGCTTAGAACATTTGTTCATATATCTATTATTTATCAACTTAATATTACACATTTTGGACGATGCAAGTAAATGAAATATTTAGAGACAATTTATTTACCGGAATTTCCGGGTATTAGATTCAAATTATTGACTTTAAATGAATTCGCTTTCTTCCTGACACACATGCAAACTATATATAACCGGAGTTGTTATGAAAAAGGTGTCATAAATCCAAATTCACTGACTATTAGCTGAGCTAAATGAATCTTCAATTTAAACAGGTTTTCTAATACGACAGCTTCAGCATTTGCATGCACCCCCTCCCCGACCCCAGACGCGGGCCAGCACCTTCCATGAAATATGAAATACGTCGAGCCGGCAAACTGGTTTGTTGTATGGAATAATTTTGCATTTTAATCTGGTCTAAAACTCACACCAATAGAAGCCAAATTCATTGAGCTGTATTTTCCTTAAAAGGGGTTTAACCCAAAAGCAAAAACTTCGAAATCTTCTTCCTTTTCGAGATATTTGCATTTAAAGTTTTCAGTCAGCAGGGTTCTCAAGCTCCAGCGCACAAGCTGCGCGTAAAAAACTGGACGTTGGGTGAACGTATCATCTCAGATGTATCTAAAAAGTTTTATTAAATTTAATCATTGATTGGAAATATTTAAATTTAAACGTGAACTATTAATTAAGTAAACCATTTTCCAAGCTAAAATTTCGTAACAGTATGGAAGATTGAGTAAAGAAATGACTTCAGCCGCTTGAATGCGCACTTCTCTATTCTTTTACCGATATCAAGGAACCACATTTGATTTGAGATTTCCAATTTTACTGCATATCTCTTAGGCATACGAATAATCTTTCTGCCCAGCTCTAAATTTACTATATTTTTATAATAAAAAAAATTCATTTAATTATTTATTTATATCGTGAGATTGCTCAATTTTGTAAATTTCTATCTGAAGTAATTCAAATATGTGATAGAACGATGCCCATACGGAAGCTATCATTTTCATTTGTGTTACACTTCAGATCTAATTTTGTCGGAGACAGAAATTTTTTGATTAAGATCTGCGAATATATCCACAGGACGCCACGATTCAATCTCTCTTGAATATCCCCAAGTCTAGATCTTCAGGAAACCCATTCCAGGCAATTTTTTTCAAGCAACCTTGCTTTGGTGCAAATATATCTTAGAAAAAAGTTTACCTTTTTCTGTGTAATTCAAATATAAATAAAGTTTATCAACAAGGTACATTTTTTTAGCGATTATTCTTACCTAATAAGCAAATTAATTATTTTTACACCCACATAAATTTTTCCTACGACAAAAGCATCAGACTAAATACACATGTTCAATTTTTGACATATGCACGTATAGATATAAAATTTTTCCATTGTTTTTAAATTATGTATCCTTTTCTTACCTAAAACAATGTATTGGAATTAATTATTTTACTTTAGCACTCAGTAGCTATGCGATGTCGGTAATTAAGAGAGCGAATAAAACTTCCAAGCGACAGCACAATTTAATAAATATTGACAAACACTGAACATTAGACATACAACTACATCTGAGGTTCGTTCATCTCCTATTGGAAGCAATATTATCATTAATATGAGTAATTTCGGCCGATAAATTATGAAGGCACAGAAACGACATCCAAGCAAGAGGCAGCAATCGATGTCTCAGAGGATACCCATAAGAGAACTTTACCTTAGTCAAAGTTTCTCTGCGGCTAAAAAATTAACCCTAGATGTACCTTGAGACGGGTTATATGTTAGGGTTAACCTTGATGAGGGATAATATCAGGAGGAGAAATGTCATGACGAGGAAATATCTCATTATGCCTGGCAAACATAATCTTGTTTAAGCCTAGCAATTGTGCAAAACCAAACATCTTCATTTATCCAAAAAATGAAGAATTGTTGGTCCTAGACAATTGCAGCAGAAGAAGAGATCATACCAATCAACCAAGTCAAAACTGTCAACACGTATTACTAAATCGCAAAATACTAAAATTAATTAAAAAAATTACCTGGAATGCTGGCATAGCTGTCACTTATGTCGTACTTGATAACAATCGTTGGTTCAAACCAATGTGATTTTCACATCACAGCCACTGCGTTCCTATCGCTATCCTTAATCACAAGCAAAAAATCTCAATTGGCTGCAATTGCCAATTACATTTATACATTTACCTTTAAGCTCCTTTGTTAAGACATTTGATTAATAATTATAGTTTCTTCTCCAGAAGGTTCACCATCAAATTCCTCGCCAGTGGTTGGTGAGGCTAGATTGAAAGCCGACAGTGATTAGCTGACGGAGTTGCGAATTATTACCTATTTTTGATAGTGTAACCCAACAGATATTTTTGAAGCAAAATGCGACTAAAATTATCTTTTGTTGATGTTTCATAATTACTTCGGACCTGCTGGCCAGTGAGATCTCTTAACGCACAACCATGATGTAATAATTCACGTGTGACTGAGCAACTTAAGATTAAACTTCAAACTTTAATAGACGTTGTCGTAGAAATAAATTGTACAAAAGGGTTTACGCCTACGAAACAGTTCCTGCAAAAATTATCACAAGTTATCATGTCATGGATATTTTAGAAAATTGAAGCCTATATATGCGCTCGTATATAGTAGTTCAGAGATTCTCCTTGCACGACTCCTCATGTAACATTAATGTTTCAGCTTCATAACACCTCATGCAGTCTCAGCGGTGTCTTTCTCAGCTCAGTTCCAGCATTGTTCACAACAACAGGATTCGTGTTTTCCCTTCAAATTCAATGACACGAAAAGTTATTTTGTATTTTCAACTTAACTCACGCAGAGCTTAACAGAAGCAAAGTATCTGGTTGTAGGGCATCTGATCTTCAATAGCCCCATGGCTACAGATGTGTCGTCAGACACCGCTTAGTAAAGGATTAACATCTTTGTTTATCCTCTATCCTCTGCATTGAAACTCCAGTTGTAACGTTTTCTGTAGCAAAGTTCAATCGCAGCGTCAGCGCGCGTACGCCTCTGTACGCACCAACGCTTTTAGACTGTCTGTACCTTTACGCTGTCTCTACAGCAGCTTTCCTTCCGCTGTATATCCTTCATTACAGCTCATGCAGCAACGTAGCTACAGGAGTATCTTTACAGCAAAATAGTTCATGGTGTGTATACTGAAGCATATATGCTGATTCTACTGCACACAGTATATGCTGCGTCTACAGCATACAGTATATGCTGCGTCTACAGTGGCATGTCTTCGGTAGCATATCTCAGCATCACTGCTCCAGCAGCCGTAAGGAATCCTCTGTAGGATTTTCAGGACGCACCACCGTCAGGATCTTCTGCAGCAGCACCGACGCGTCATCTTGCATAAGAAAAATATTTTGCTAGGAAAAGTGGAACAAATGACGAGGCGATTGAGAATTTAATTATTTGGAAACAATTTATTAAAATTAAATCGCAAGTTATATGGAAAAATATAGTAATTAGCTACTAATAACTAGATTCTTTTACTGTGTCATGAACAAAACGAGTGACAGTATCAAATGAAAACACTGGTAAGAACACTGAACATCCAGAATATAGGTGATCTTTTCATGAAAATTGACTCATACAAAACGGATACCTACCAATAAAAAAATTATTCAATCAATAAATGCCACAGAACACGATTGTAATGATAAAATATAATAACTTACAACTGAAGCGCTGTGCATTTTTGTTGTTCTTGCAAGCTTTGCCTAAATAGTAGACCGGCAGGGCAGACAGGGTGAACAGCATGCCGAGGCCTGTGATGAGGAACATACTAAGATACCAAGACCAGTTTCAGAAGCACATATAATCTATTAAACAAAATTAGTAGGGAATTATAAGAAGCAATGCTCGTAAATGTACAAAAATTGTTATAAATAAAAATATTAATTGGATGGGGTGAAGCGATTCAGCGATTCAATCATTGGGAATCCACAACACTGTTGTTTAAATTTACGCTAAAAATTCAATAAACAGTAAAATATTCCAGGAAACATCAGTTTATGAAATTAGAAAAGGTCTAGAACAGGTATTTCAATAAGAAATTAACTATTAACGAAACTGAATTGTCTCAAATAATCAATAATATATTGTACACACAAACAAGTGAAGCTAATAATATATTTTAGATATTAATAAAACGTGCCAAAAATTTTCGAAACAAAATCGATTACACATCAAGAAACTATGAATACACAATAATGTAAATTACTTATTCGTGATTTATCCAGTAAATTATTTTTTTTAATCGAAATGCCATCATGACTTCAAAGTTCATACCGAGTTAGTTTGTAACCTGTACTTGTAGGGTCCGTGATGAGCGGGACAATAACGAGGTAAGCACAGCACGCCAGGAACACAAGTGGCAATACAATAGGCACTTTAATAGGCCTGTGTAGGAGCGGGTGTGTGTATCTCAGCCTCAGCAAAGCGGCCGTCGCCGCGCCGATGCTCAGCCACAGAGCGAAAGACAGGCAGTTGATGAGCGCCATGATGTCTAACCCTAACAAAGCCAGGGATATTAAGAATGAGGTGATCAAAGCTGGCTTCGGGGTTCTTGCTTTGATGTCGATGAAGGACAAGACAGCGGGCATGTGGCCTTCTCTGGCCGCCGCGAGGAACAATCGGCCGGAGGTGAAGAGGATACCGTTGAGGCTGCCGAAGGTGGACAGCGCTACGAAGACCGGCACGACGAAGCGAAGTGGACCCAGCACGCGCGACCCGAACTCCTGACGAAAGAGTAAAACATTTGATAATTCCAGCTAAAATTTATAAGCTAATTAATATTTTTCTTTATGCTGATAATTTGTCAGTAAAACTTATAATATTTATCATCATGAAGTTTTTTCTGAAGATTTATTCATTATGTTTGTTTCAATATTATGACAGTTGTACTTTTTAAATTTTTTGCCTCGCGGTTCACTTATCTGGTCTAATTCATTTCAATTGATGTTTTGTCACTGTCCAAGTTACTTTGAATCGACGTTACGCTGTTGACCAAATACGTAACGTTGCTAAATTGTAACCGATGTTATACTTTTTTATACATTTTCCGTTTAGTAATTGTTAATAATTTTCGTGCAATGATCGCCCGTGTATTTTAGCATCCAATTGTGTCGGTTATTATCGACACAAGTGGAAAAAAATCACAGTCGAGAAATCTGATGCTGAATATAATGAAAATTTTAGCATATAAATATGATGGTAAAATTATTTAGTGTACCGTATGTTAAGAAAGCTTAACTTTGTTTCAGACAATTTCTCAAACTCATTGGACGAATCTTAAACTTTTCAAGTTCCAATAAAATATTTCGAAACTTTATTTTGCCGCTATACGTAAGGATCAGCATAGTTTGAAGGCTAATGTATATTATAATTCATTCATATCTTCATCCAACAGAACACAGGAATATCCTGTGACATGTACACGTTTCACACAAAATCCACTCATAAATTATTACAACAAACAAAAGTAGCATGTTACATTTCAGGAATAACACATTTTTCTTGCTGTATTAGCATATCATTTTTAAATTTTTACAATAAAACATCTCATTGGGAAGAATTTTAACTCACGACGGCGACTGCCGACGACGAAATGAGCACGTCAGCTGGCAGGACGACGAGGTAGGCAACGTTGACGCAGACGTACACCATCGTCACCATCGGCAGCCCCACCCATATGGCCAACGGCAAGTTCCTGACCACCGAAATTCATTAATAATCACGAGTGTTCAATACGGTAAATAATATGATCAAGACTGTGATACGACCTTTGATGGCATTGATGATAAGAAACATAACTGGAACATCGTAATGGAATAAAAAGCTCTGTTCAGCCTCCCTGATTACATCGTTGACGCTCCGAGTATAAACGCGTTCAAGAACAGACTAAATAAAGCAATGGAGAAATATATGTTCAGACTTGAAATGCCCAGCACCATATCAAACCCAGGGGAAGTCTAGTAGCTACTTCAAACTATCGTCAGTCATGAAAAGATCCGGTCAAAGGACCTGTTTTTAGATCTCCTGTGAAAAAGTCACGAAAAGTACAGCTGTACAAGAATCGGCGACAGGCCACATCAGCCCTACTCTTCACCGTCGACATCACTGTGTTATGTTACGTTAAAACTTAATACATTGATTATAAAATTCCTATACGCATGCAAAGTATTGAGCAAAATGACCCTTCAATGTTTGATGTTATTTTTCGGACAAAAGAACACGAATACTATTTTGTATTGATATTGTTTTCCTATTGTGTGCATGCAGCGCTCACATCTCATCAGTTGCATGCAAGGAGACATGGCCTCCATTTTAACCGGTTACTTGCATCAACAAAATATGGGATATTCCGGTAAGAAATGATCATACACCTCATCGTTATTGGTATTCTAGCCCAATGAGCCGTAGCTACAAATATTCTCATTATTATGGGCCAGGTTTTCCAGCCAAGCTCGAGGAACAAATATTTGTGAATACTCAGCGGGCGATAAATCGATTTTTATCGATGATCATCACATCACCATCATCGAACTCGGGTAATACGGAGCAATGATTCTTGATGAGGTGATGTCACGCATTGCCGTTTCATGGAATGAATGAATTGGATAGCGCATAATATCTTCAAGCGAGAGACAATAAATTGTCAATTTATTGACTTGAAAAGGCATTTATTTATTTCAATTTATTTATCAATTTATTGTCAATTTATTGACTTGAAAATTTTAAAAAGCGCTAGAAAATATTAATGAATAGACGAATTTGGAGACGATTTCAAGATAAGCCATCAGTAGTTAGAAAAATGTTACTTTATGATTTTATTATTAATTCTATGCACTGCCTGTACTTCAAAACAACTAAAACTTCGTAAAAACACAGCAAATAAAGCTGAGGCCATCAGAGATTTTCCAAAGAAAAAAGAGAAGAAACGTAAGTGGCTTCGTTGTGTCTACGAAGCCAGCCGTGACCCGGCGCTTCTTACTAGACGTTTATTTTCGTCTTCTCGAAGAAAACTTGAGCAAATAAAACTTATAATTTGAAAATCTTTTACATGCCCTCAATTCTATTGTAATTTAAGTTGCTAGGATTTTGTAATGTGAGTGTTGTGTTGAGTTAAGCGGGAAAATATCATACTTGTGTATTCTTCAACGAAAATAAATATTGGAAACTTTCAATGACCACAGAAAAAGAAGTGTTATAAAAGATAATTAATGATAAACTATTTTCTCGGAATATTTTTTTATATGTTATGACTGCAATGGCGAGCGAAATATAAAATGCACGAAAAACTTTTTTATGCACGCGCAAGCACCTGTAGCAAAGTCACCAATTTTAAATACAAATTTAGAATTTATGCCATGTGCACATCAGGATTTGTAGCAGACGGTATGTGAGACTGTAATCTTGAAAGTCTAAATTTAGTTCCTTGAACTAAGTAAAAAAATTGCTTTTGGCTTATTTATATGAGAAAATGGCTTATGAGAGGCGTTAGTATTCGCGTGTGGGAGACTAACCGTCATATTTTATATAGTCATCAATAATACAATGTATTCGTCAATTAACCAGTTGCGATGAAGAAATCACTATAGCATAGTCATAGTATAGTTTGGTAAAATAGTAACTAGTTAGATTCTGAGGTGCCATATTCAAAGTAATCAAAGTCAGATTCAATTTCAAGTACAAAAAAGTTATATATCTGTAAGTTTTCTCGCGTGGACAATAAATCGGTGGCTTTAGATTCGAAACGCTCTCACGAGAAAGATATTCTAGCGTTAGCCTTTCGTCGTCGTAAAAAAATTCATTGGAATGTTCCAATATTGGTGGAATAAAAAAAAATTTTAGGTCTGTAATGTTAGGTCTTGTTTAGGTTTTATGTCTGTCTTAGAATTTTGATAAGATAATATGATTTTATTCATTTTTAGCTTTTCGAACTGATGATGGACCTGGACTCCGAAACGTTTTCAATATCGATATGGTGAATTTGCTTGGTGTTTTTTTTTTGCTTTTAAATTCCTTGTGAACTTGCGATATAAGCAGACTGATAATATAAGTCCTTGGTGAAATAAAATAATAAAGCTGGACTAAATAAAAGATAACATTGGAAACTGAAGAGATAATTTACCTATGCGGATCTTTGAGTTCCTCGGTGACAAAGTTCAAGTAGTTCCAGCCGCCGTACGCAAAGAGCCCCGCGTAGAACGCGATGGCCAGTCCCTGCCAGTCTGCCTCAGGTTGAGCGGTGACGCTCGTGTCCCGCAGGTGTCCACCTCTCTCTGCCCGTCGAAAATTTACTAATTAATTGAAAAAGTACAATTTTACGTCATAAAAATTATTTTGAACATTGAATGATTCAATATAATTTAACGAAAATTTTATCGAATTTCCATTAATAATGAATTTACAAGTATAGACAAAGCAACGCTTTGCTTGAAACTTTTTTGGAATTTTTATTGTGCATTTGTTACTTTTAAATTATAAGGTGATATGCTATCCAGCAATTATATAAATGGTGGAATAAGTCAAATCGAAAAATGCCCCAATACTTAAATAATTGTTACGTTGCAAAACAAAGTTATGTATAGGAGACGAGTGAAAGAATCAGCCTTAAAACGAATCGTAATAAAATATATTTGCCGTACAAGTAATTAATTTTCATTTTTAATACCCATCCGTAATACAATTTATATTTTGAATCTTCAATGTTCTTATATAGCATTTACGGATAATGATCATTTAAAAGCTTCATCCATTCAATGCTACCGGATTATTGCTCGCACAATCATTGATGCTCGTATAGGAATTTTGACTGGAACAGCAATTTTTCTGTCACGAGCAACGATGTAGTAAAGTTTTCTAGAGAATCCATGAATTGTCAATAATGCGCTTTGTGGCTAGGGTAGATATTCTGTGTAGATATTCTTACGTTTAAGCTTGTAAGATAAGTTTCAAGATTGCTTACCTTCCAGATTATTTGCATATTCCTCTAATCTCATCTCCACACAAGAACTTTAAACAATTAGAGAACTCTAAACAAATAATCTTGTTTACAATTGTAAACTAGATTGAAAGTCGATTAACAAATTTACCCTGGGCAAAAAAATGAAATACTTTGTATCCATTCATTTCTGCCCACTATTCAATCAGCACCACTATTCCTTCTTTACATTCTGAGTTTTGCATCTACCAGAGTGCGTATAATGTACACATACTGTATACTGTACATATACTCAACGCATTTGTGTATACTGTACGTATACTGTACGCATGTTGCATTAGTGGCTTGGTGCGTATACTGTCAGAGATGGTGGTTGTAACTACTCTTTTGATATTAAACGGGTTTGTATGGAGACAGTCGGAAGGGAAAATTATTTTTTTCTCATTTCAAGGTAAATTCAATCAAAATCATAAAATAAAATTACATTCATAACTAATAACATAACTAATAAAATTACATTCAGCTTTGCATGCCAGTGCAACAAAATCCCTTCGTTATCGTTTGATTTGATTGATTATAATTGCATGGATTAATTGCATCAGCGGGAAAATCAATAAATTCAGCTGGACAGACAATCAATGGATTGCGCTGCCAACCAATCCATCAAGCGTCGGTAACGAGGAAGTATCCTTATTTGGCCGACGCCGAAAAAAGCAGCGCGAAATCAAAAATTATTTTTCAATTGTAAAATATTCACGCAACATTTGTTGATACTCCTACAATTAATGTTCACACGTACCATATACAGTAAACATAGGAGATATTTATTAAACGAATGAACAGTTATACTTAGTTATACTTAGATTAGTCAGAGACTTGACTGAAGACCAGCCACGGCTTGATGGTTTAGTTCTGTTCTGGAAAATATTGATTCATTTTACCCTTGAAAATTGCATTTAATCGAAGAGGAATACACCTTGGTTTAGAAAATGAAATACCGTCTGGATTCAGTAACATGTCAGCAAGTAGAATTTTAGCAAGTTGATAATAACCTGATTTATAGGCAAGGAAATGATATAAAAAAACTATTATGTGTGCTAATAAAATTATTCACTTATCTATTTGATGATGATTATCTTCGATATCTTGCATATGCCATCTTTTCAAAATTAATTTCTTGAAAATATATGATATTAAACCACGTTTTAGGGTGTAAAAATTCGGCGGTGACAACTGACGGAATGGAAGCTAACATTTTTTTAATTCCATTTAAAAACGAAAGAATATTTTAATGAACAGAGAAACCAGGCAGATAAATTTTCTCGACGACTCCGACTCAAAGAATTCGAGAGCTAGCCACGCGACAGACAAAGTTTCAAGGTAGAACGGCAACGAGAAATTCAGGGTTTAAGCACTCACTCAAAACCTCAAGTTCACTTTTGTCATGTTATAATATAGAATGTGTGTTGTGTTATTTTAATACGTGACTATAATACTTGCTTATTTAACGAATATTTGTTCTTGCACTTGCTTATACGTAGTACCTATGCAGATATATATATTTTTATATTTTACGCTTCCGGCGGCATTGGTGCGAATTAAAACTCTCCGCATTTATGGTTCCAATGTGGTTTAAAAAATAATTTGGAATTTCGCCTTATTTTTTAACATTTTAAATCATAAATTTTTTAACATTGTAAATCATAAATTATTTCTCACATTACATCAGTTATATGAGCATTCAACTATTGCCTTACCAAGCCAAAGAATTTTCATCAAGTCATTAATTACTACAGTTTCTCAATTATCCAATTATCTAGACCCTCGTTTTTCTACTATATTTTCTCAATTCTTTTGTTTATTCATGGAAAAGACTCCAGATTAATATGTTTCGAGAACAAAATGATTTAGTGGTCGATTTTTGAGGCTTCTAAGGCGTTTTTCCAACTCCGTTATTGCTCAAGGACTATCCGGAAATCTGCATAAAAATAAACGTTTACAAGCCCTACCCGCAACGAGGATTTGTCCTAGGCGTCCTAGTCACACAATGACATATTTGGAGAGTCATTGTAATAGAGTGCACAAAAATATTTTATTAAAGCACCTTACACACTTAATTGCGATACTCATTGAGTTTAGGCTTTTATGTTTAATTCTATTGATGTGTGGATCTGAAAATAATGCATAGACCAATTGTTACAAAGATCCGTTAAATTTTCATCTTATAATCCGTAGAGTTTTTACCGATTCTTCTTCGGAGAAACTCAATTTGATGCTAAACTATAGCAAAATCCGCAATGACCCAAATCTTGTTACTTCATCTTGCAATACACCATTAAATGCTGCCATAATTTCTCGCCTTACATTAGTATCGTGTAGTTAAGCAGGAACTTTAGTGCTACACTTTTAGATGTAGAATGCATTAAAAAATTACCACCGCATCAGTTAAATGATTCAGTTACTAAGTTAATAAAACCGGACGTTGGTTGATTTGAATGTTGGATTTAAACATCAAGTGCGGCTGAAAACATCATAAAGTATTTGTACTGAGATTAATTCACCGTGAAGTTAATGAAACAGGCTGGAATAAGAAGAATATGAAAAGTTAAGACGAAAGTAGGAAGAAAGAGTGTGGGCAGTGTTTAGAAGTGCGAGGGTGCTACCTTACAGTCCGACAACATTTCTTCACGCTTCGAATCACCGACATATGGAACAGCCACATTTTAATTACATCGTTGGCGCTCCAAGTATGAACGCGTTCAAGAACAGACTAGATAAAGCTATGGAAAAATATATGTTCAGACTTGAAATGCCTAGCACCATATCCAACCCGGTGTAAGTCTAGTAGTTAGTTCAAACTATCGCCAGTCATGAAAAGATCCGGTCAAACGACACGATTTTAGATCTTCTGTGAACAAGTCACGAAAAGTAAAACAATCGGCGACAGGCAACATCAGGCCTACTCTTTAGCGCCGACATCACTATGTTATGTTATGTTAAAAAATGAATGAATAATTAATGTGCGTGGGAGTTGACGAACGCGCAAGTCAGACACATCTTCATTCGTGTCATGAGTATATAAAACATAATTAATATTCACAATTATTATCTTCATTCGTTTCATGAGTATATTAAACGTAATTCATATTCACAATTATTATCTTCATTTGTGTCATGAGTAGTACGTATATTAAACATAATTAATATTCACAATTATTATCTTCATTCGTGTCATGAGTATTTTGAACATTAATAATATTCACAATTATTATCTTCATTCGTGTCATGAGTAAATTAAACATTATTAATAATTAAAATTATAATCCTCATTCGTGTCAGGAATATATTAATATAAACATTAATATTTACAATTATTAGACTGTTGAAAGTAGAACTGACCTGTTACGAGCACGTAGAAGCCCATGATTGTGATGATGAAGAGTGCAAGTAACTTTGCTGCAGTGAAGATCATCTGTACACGCATGGCCCACTGCACACTGTGGCAGTTGACTGCCGTCAGCACACCTGCGTGAGAAGACGTCATATGGATAAAAAAATAGTTTACAGGCTAAAAAATACATTATCAACAATATATTAATTGAAAAATTACAATAACATACATTAATAATTGCATTATTACCGGAATAAAGGAAGGGTATTTTGAATTTTCCACTACCAGTAGCGCACACTTGAGGTTAACTGAAATAATGTGTATATAGGTACTTCACCGGAAACGTTGAAAAGAGCCACGAGTTTTGATGAGCTTGAAATTATTAATGAATAAGTTTTTTCGTCATTTTGCCAATTATTGCTTGTCTTATATGTTGCTTGTCCCTATTTTAATCGAAATTTAGTTGTAATATCGAATCCTGACTTTGGCTAACTAATGGCGCTGATCTCCAAAACGTTCTCTCCATGGAGCTGCTGATAGTGTCATGAGTACTACCTTACCTCTACGTGCTGCGGCAAGAGTTGTACACTTCGTCAACATGTAATGGCTAGTGTACTTTTATCTCATCTCTCTACATGAGTAGCAGAAGTAAATTTTTAACTCTACTCAACCTGGAAACCTTAACTCTACTCCTTTCTGACAGGAATTTATTATGTCAACCTGCTGCACGTGGCAGGAATATTAATATCTGTCTACACGTGAGGCAGTACTTCTTACTGTCTATATTCTAAAGAAGTCTAGAGCTAATCTGTCAGCAGGCAGCCCCGCAACTGCTCAGAGACGGGATCTGCTGTCATCATCTAAGCTCGTCAATATCTGTGCGACGAACAGCGTTAACTAGACAGTTGAAGTCCAAAAAATGGCTTAATTTCTGCAAAAAGAGTTGAACAATTCGAAATAACATGTTTTCTTAATTGAGTTTCATTAATTTAGTCGTGATCTCTAAAAATTTATTTACAATTTTTTCTCGTTTAATTAATACGGCAATTTTTTGGGAAATTGATTGATTATAGTTTGCATGCGAGATGTAAGCTACTGATTTCTGTTCCAAATTAGAAATACTTAATTCAACTTACCGAAACACAGGAATTTAAACTATTTTAATCACCCAATCTGTAATTAAAATATCAAGACAAGAATAGAATTTTAAAGCTGGTAAATTTTTTCCATTAGTATAAAAACCTTCTTGTTTGAACGAGTTTACCATGAATTAGATGTCAATCAAAATCTGGAGGAGATTAATTATCGCTTCCCCACTGCCAACATAGGACAATCCTCTGATTTTTACCCAGATAAAAATTCAGGTCAGACAAAGGCAGCAGAGTCGACATCAACGGCCAGTCGCTGAAGATTCATCAATTGTTTTCAACCGAGAAGAAAACTGACGCCATCAAAGCTTTCAAAAAGTCTGATTCCTCGAAATCTAATTTGGCAGCACTTAGCTCCTCATATCTAGCTTACTGCACCTCAAGTTTCTAATGCGGCACAGAAATCTTAGTTGTCACAATGCACTAATGAGTTAAAAAACCGTACCAAGCTATAATCATCACATGATATTGAACTTTCAATCACTAAATTCCACAACTGTTCGCATAATACTGAAGGGATATCTCATATATGCAAATTAACAAAAATCTTACATTACATTGAGCTAATTTTAAGCATGAAGCTATACTTCGAATCAACCAAACGAAGAAGATTTTAGTTTTTGAGCGCCTGCTCCCTCTGTAGAGAAGCCGTAGAAAGTCCCGAACAAGAAAGTAGCTAAGCTCCCTAGTCAGAATTAAACCGTGCAGACGACACAGCAGACATTAGTACAGAGAAGTGCAAGGCTAGACAATTGCCACGAGTAGCGAAGCCATGAAAAAAATCATGGAGCGCCTAAAAATGGTGACGAAAGTCTAAAAAAATTAAATGACAGCATTACAAACTTGGCAGGAGTCATAAAGAATTGAAATACTTGCATATCTCAAGCAAAATTTTGAATGAACAGCACAAATAAGTCTCGCAAAAGGCACTCGATATGAGCGGTAAAACGTCCCAGGCATTTATTTTCCTTAAGCACATACGTTGAGTTTCGAATCAGTTATAAAGATCCGAAAAATTCAGCATGTTCGAGTAAAAACAGATTTCGTTTGAAAATCAAAGTATTTAGAAAAAAACTTACCTAGAACGAGGGCAGCAAGCAGCGCAACGGCGAGACGCGGCGGCGGGCAATGAGGGAAAGCGAGGGCGAGGGAATATTCGGCGCAGGCGAGGGCGACAACACACTGCGCTGCTGGCCGCACCAGCACCACATTCACCCAGAGCGTCGTGAACGCCGGCAGGTCACCGAACGCGTGCAGCACATACGTGTACTCGCCGCCTGATGCAGGCAAGATGGTGCCCAGCTCGCTGTAGGGCAATCGAAAAAATTTTACATAGTTAGAGAAAATTTTACATCGAGAAAATTTTACACAAGATCCAGGGGCGTCGCAAACGTTGGCTAGATGGTTATTTAACTTTTATTAAATTGTTTTGAAAATCCACCGGCGTCGTAAACGATGACTATATATTAAACTGTTTTGAAGATCCAGCGGCGTCGTAGACATTGCCTAGATGCTTGCATAATTATTAGTATTTTTTTGAGGATCCAGCGCAGTCGTAAACGTTGGCTAGAGGGTTGCAAACCTATTATTAAATTGTTTTCAAGATCCAGCGGCGTCGTAAACGTAGCCTAGATGGTGCTCAGCTCGCTAGGGGGAATGACGAATATTTTACACAAATTTTTTAATTAGTTTACAAGACACAGCAACGTAGTAAACGCTGGCAGGATTGTTCCTTGCACGCATTTAATAAATTAAAAAAATTTTATAGATTGTTATTAAATTGTGTCAAGGAGCAATATTGTTTCGACGTAACAAACACTGGCATGATGGCGCCCAGCTCGCTATGGGGGAGTGAAGAAAAATTTACATTGAAACAGTTTATTACATAAACTGTAATTTACATTACAGTTTATATTGAAACTTTTTAATGATCTAACAGCGTCATAAATGCTTGTTGATTGTAATAAATTGTTGTAAGGAGCCATCAGCGCCGTGAACTCAGCAAAGATGAAGCCCGGCTCTCTAAAGAAGGATGAGGAACATAACTTCAACTTGATTGTCTTTCTAACAAACAAGTAGATTCAGGCATGATGCAGGCATAATAATCAGTAAATTCTAGTAAATAATCAACGGAATAGTGAATGACAGTGAACGTTGGCGTTATAGTTTACATTATAAGTCGGGGAGTTACAGAACGCGCGATGCACCCTTCCGCTGGATATCATTTAGATCAATCAAGAAAAATCATGTGAAATAAAATTTTTATAAAGTGAAAATAAAAAATAAAATTCGTCTACGACGCCTTCTAATAAATAACACAATTGGTTAAACGGCAAGCTTCACAGTGGTGAGTGGCAGCATTGTATTGCCTCAGGTATTGTATTAATGGCAACAAAACATAGAGCTTTTTTAATGCTGCACCAGCACAACTGAACATTTAAAATGCATAGCAATATATAGATATATAGTATAAATGTTTTTTGAAGTTAACTTCACAATGGCTTTCTTTTCACTCTAATTAACACGCATCCGACAATAGCAATTCAAAGTCATTTGAACACTATTAGACAACTCCTAGTCTCGCCATGTCGTATCCAGTCTCTTCGCCAATGAAAAGGTCTCACTGACATTGAAATAAGAATATCGAATTGACAAGACCTGACGGAGAAATAGTTCATTTCGATTCGTCAATTTCAATAATCAAACAACTGCTAATATGATAAAAAATTCAACACGTTTTACCTACTGTTATATCATGTTTTTTTATATCAACTCTCATTATACCATTTGTTTGATATTCAAGCTAATTTTCTTTCCTGTGATAAAACAAGGCTTTGTTAACCTTGAACCCAAACACAAACTGAAAAGAGCGCTGACGTTAATAATTGTTTCTTTTTCACCACCAATTCCGTCACCGACAAGTAACGTTTGTCCCAAAACTCTTGATTAGATAAGATAACGTGTCTATGCAGGAAATACGTACTCCGGAAGAAGCAATGTGGCTTTTGATTCTACGTTGTAATACATATGCAACGACGCAGTTGTTATTAATTAATTTTATTTGACTTCGCTATTTTGCTGAACAATTACTGCGCCTCTGTGCACAAGATACAGTTGCAGCCCAGTCAAGTTTTGGGAAGAAAATAGAGAATCTACAGTTTACATATCGATCACCGAAATGTAAAGGAAATCATTTAACACCACGTCTGCATTCATTCCGACTGATGGGACTCAACACAAACAAAGCATTCATCATAAATGCTCTCGTGAAACTGAATGCACGGCGATTTAAAATCACTCCTGATGTCTGTATGAACCTGAAACTGAACACACAAACATTAATCGTCTTACGTCTCTACATTTGCCAAATGCAGAAACATAGCATACTGATCTAAATAATACGCCTGACGTCTGTATTTAACTACTGTGCACACTGATAGAGCACACTGATGTAAATAATTTAGATCAGTATTTAGAGCAAACTGATCTAAATAATATGCCTGACGTCTGTATTTAGGTTCCTAAAACAGAATGTATAAACATAGCAAATTGAATTCAATATTATGCATGACGCTGCATTTATCTAAAACCGAATGTATAAACAGAGCACATTGACGTAAATAATACGAACGCCGTCTTTAATTTAACTATAAACAGATTGGAGATACCGAGCACACTGACATAAATAACACGTCAGCACTCACCTGAAACAGAGTGCGCCGACTGTACACAAGACGCCAGACACAGTCCAGACGACGATAGCAGCCCAGGGCGATCCAGCGTATTGTAATACTCCTCCCGGAGATACGAACACCCCGGAGCCGATGATGCTGCCCACTATAATTGAGATGCCATTCAAGAGCGTAATGCTTCTCTTGAGCACGATCGGGCCTTCGTGTTGTTGTTTAGTTGGACGATCTTGCATAATGGCGGCAATATTATCCGTACTTCGAGCAGTTTTTATATATAATTTATATTATTATTTGATTTCGAATGGTTTTCAATATTTTCACGGTGATTTATTAGGTCGAATTAAGCAAATTAGTAATTGATGTAACGTTAGAAGCAAATTAGTAGCGGTTTCCATCGCCGGCGCGAAGTCTCAAACGCAACAGGTTGAAGCTGTCGCCGACATGCGACTCTACTGAAATTCCCGAGTCTAGCGGAAATGACCGCAGTGGCCGTGAGAGGAAACACTGCTCTTTTCCTCGTCAAAGCTCGGACTGATTGCAGTTCAACACAGATCTCCTTCACTGCTGTAGTAGGCGGGATCGTCGGCAGCGAGAAATTTGAACTGGGCGGCGAGACTGACGCAAGACTCACCGGAATGACAAAATATTTGATTTAAATAACACCTCCTTGAATAGATTAGTTTACGTTCATTTTCTTCAAGAGGAGTTTAGCGAAATATAATGACCAATCGTACCGAGCTTGATATAAGCTACAATAAGATTGTTGAATATAAATAAGCTTTATCCACTTACGAAAATGTAATGTAGAATAATATTTGTTCCATTGACGGTATCCGGGAATCTTGTTTCCTGGTGTACAAATTTGTCCCAAATTAATTTTCAGGGGAGCACGTTTATTTCTTCCCTCCTGTATTTGCAAGCGGGCCGATTCGCTATGACGGGCGACTATGCCGACAATGTGAGGAAAAAAACAGTAAACAGTCGATAAAGTTGTTGGTTGCGTTGTTTGTCTATTTATGAGCCTAAAGTTGAGGACTATTCATACGATTCGTTAAGAATAAAAATCGGAGGGTAAAATTTTCGTAAGAGATTAGAGCTGATTATTCATTTCGGTCGGTCTATTCTGAACTAATGAAGCCAAGGCTATTGTAGGATAAATAGAGGCGAAAGTGTCCTCGAAGTAGGTAGGCTTATTCCAATGGATTCGACCTTTGGAACCAACGGCAGGATCGTGAAACTTTCCAAGTTTGGGAATCCCGGCGGACGCGTCACGCACAGATCAGAGTCTTGTATCAGTTCCACTTGTGCTAGGAATTGGTTACTTTTGTTTGAAGAAAAATTAGATCCGATAACAATATAGCATTTTCATCCATGCTGTTTTCATGAAAACATAGACAGTGAGATTAATATTTTCTGATCACTCACAAAATCATCGTAAAGCATAGACGAACAAATTTTACATCAAATGTTAGCTCCTTAGTTATTCCGCTCTCATCAACATTCAATTTCAGCTGTAATTACGCTCAATAGTAAAGTCAGCTTTCACAGAGACTCCTCCATCATTCACATTTACCAGACCTTGCTGAGCACATGGCTAGAGCTAGACTGAACTGACGTACCGGGGCGCCGGCAGTTGCGTGCTTCTGAATGCAGTGGCCACACGTACGTCTGGCTTCCTGTGAGCAATGTTCAGTCGATACAGTGGGCGGTGACATGTTGTCGTACGTCTCTAATGAGAATCGATCCTTTAAGTTCACTATGCCCTCACCGTGGGTGACATCAAAGACAATACAATGACCTCATAGGCTTTCCTGGGCCTTCTTGATCTTATCTTGGACACAGAATATGGAGATTGAAAGAGGTTAGGATCAGTTCAAAGAGATCGGTAGCATTACGCGAGCGCCTTCGTATGTTGCGTCAGCTTCCGTGAGCTAATTTTTGCCTTAGGAATGTTAATAAAAGATTAAGCCTTGAAATCTATGCACCGTCGGTAGTTTTTTTTTATAATTTTGGAAAATTTTCAATTGATAAACTTCATTATTCAAAACATGAGTCACTCACAATATTTAATCATTCTTTTGGTAGTGAGTTGTAATTGCAATGATATTTAAATTGATCTATATTTTATGATGAGTTTCGTGTTATGAATATAAGAATGGGTGACGATACGTTATTTAATTTATTGATACTAAAAAAATCTTTGTGATTATATGGGTTACTTAAGTTATGATTTATGTGAATATATTTAACTTTTTATACGATTTCGCTCGACACAATATCAAAAGTGAAACCAACTGTATGTTAAAAGCTATACAGTGGCAATAAACGACTATCAATCTAATTATGAGATTTGAAGAGGTACAGCTTTTCGATATGGCCTAATATTTATTGCATGTCACTTCAAAACACTTACGCCACAAACACATTTCTAAATAATGATATGCCATGATTTTTTGCGCAACATGACCCAAAAATGTTAACGATACATCTTAATATCTCACATCCTGATCATCAATTTATTTCTCAAAATATTTTCTGAACTATATGCACTCCCATGCATTTACTTCGATATGTCATAAATTAAATAAATAAAAGAATATATTGTTAACTTGTATGAATGACGGCTTAACTTGACAATTACGTGATTTTAACATTAGACCGCAAGACTTCATGTAGAAAATAATTCAATTTCTTCTAATTTTATCACCTATATTTCAACTTCTAAATTTGGAACTGACGACTTCTTTTCAAATTGAAATCGAATTATGAGTTCAAAATGTTGACAGGTTTTAAAAAAATGATTTAAAAAAATAACTGCAGATGGGCGGGGTGGTCCAGAGGTCAAAGTTCAGAGGGTATTATTGCAGATTAACTACATCCAAAAAAAAGGGAAAAAAAACACCCTTTTTTTGGATGTAGTTAATCTGCAATAATACCGAAGTATCAACGACAGGCCTTTAAGGCCCATTTAATGCTCAAACCGCAATAGTTGAAAACAAACCATTGGCAAAACTTTAAACTTTTCGCATAATGACATTAATTCAGTACTAGTGAACGTTTATTAGCAGTTTATATTATTTTTATTGTGTTTATTATTGTCGCAATACACAAGAAATTATGAATTTAATTTAATATTTTATGATCCTGCTTGCAAGTTGTAAATACCGGTAATTTATTTAATTTTTCTTTACGTCTGAATGAACTAATTGATAACATCTTAGTTCGGGACTAATTTGTCAATAATATATGCAGTATGAGCACTGTAATTATTTCGAATATATTTTTGACTATTATTAGTACCATATAATTTGTTGCTTCGTATTCACCATTCACTTGTTGAGCTTCGTACGATAGAAAACTTCTATACCATCGTCTGTAGCGCACCATCGCAACATTTTCTTCTAACAAAGAATGAGGAATAGAGAAAACTGTTTATGGTAGTACCAAAGAAATTTATAGAATATAACGAATTTGTGCTCCTAAAAATCACATTGAAGCTCCCGCACTCCAACAGGTTAATTCGAAACATAATTTTATGTTCCTTATATTAAATTATCATCATTTGACCAAGCAGCTTAAAATAAACGCTTTATTTCATGCCTGGTTCCACGGTTGAACATCACTAATAACTTTAATGCAGCAGTTATTACGACTCGAATATAAGGAAATTAAGGAACGGCATCAATATAAACATCAATCATTCAAGCGTAAGACATTAATGACACAATGTGCAGAGAAATCTTAGGTGATGATGAATAGGGCATAGAGCTGAACGATTTTAGTTTTACGCAATGTTTATCATTGTAATCCTTCAGATCTGTTAAACATGGAAATGCATTAGAAATTGAATAAAAATAATCTAAAAATTGTGAGAAGCGTGTGGTAATAACTCAATTTATATAATCATTATTACAGATGAAAGAACCGTAACTTTTTTATTTCAAAATTCCCAAGCCTAAAAATTCAATCACTTCACAATGGCAAACACTTTGTACGAATTATTTATGTGTGTTCATAGTATAGTATATGTATGTTCAGTGTACGAGTGTATGTTCAGAATTTGTATAAATAACTTTTAAATTTCAACGTTCAACATTATTGGCGTAGATGTCAGAGCGGCCGTTCAAAAATTAGGTTCGCCAATTCAAATAAGAAACAGTTCAGCCGTTTAAAATTGCATTTTCGCTCATAACTTTCATAATTCAACAACATTTAAATGTTTAAGTGCTGTTCAAATAAATAACTTGAAATTTATTCAGTTATTAACGGCAAAAATATTGTTCAAATTTCACGAGTTCCAGGTAAGTAGTTTCTGAAATACAATTAGTATAAGTAACTTTGTAACTTCAACTTCAGACGTTTCCGTTCTGGTTCAGTCGTTTCTTTCAGGTGTTTTCCGTTTGCAACAAAAATTATTCAACACCAAATAATACCGTACTCAATGATTTCATTTACTTATCAAGTTATCAACTGTGCAGTTGCTGCATGAGTTTCATAGATATGTTAGTGGACTCATTCAAAATATGTTTCCCGGTATGATGCCCACAACGATTCAAGACCGGATATCCCCTTAATCGAAGAATTCATTCACTTTCTAACTGTGTAGTGGCAACTTTAATGACATAGATGTCAGTGTGGTCATTCTAAAATTATAATCGCCAATTTCAATAGAAGTCCGTTTAGTCGTTTCAAAATTGCATTTTCGGTTATAACTTCTATGATTCCAAAAGGTTTATTCTCAAAGGCTTTTGATATAAATAACTTTTCAGATTTAACTTGGAAATTCTCCCAGTCCTAGGAATTTATTCACTTTAAAATGACAAAAATGCTGTTCAAATTTCGAAAGTATCAGTTCAGCCGTTTTTAAAATAGAATTAGTGTCGATCCCTTTTTGAATTCAACTCGCAAGTTCTCTCAAAGCTAGAAATTGATTCACTTTAAAGTTGCGAATACGCTGTTATAATTTCGTCGGTGTCAGTTCAGTCGTTTCTAAAATAGAATTGGTATTCATAACTTTTTAAATTCAGCTCGAAAGTTCTCCCAAACCTAAAATTTTATTCACTTTGGAGCGGCCAAAAATTATCTATTAAAATTTTACCAGTATCAGTTCAGCCGTTTATAAAATAGAATTAGTATTCATAACTTTTTAAATTGAAAACTCGAAACTTCTCTCACACCTATAAATTTATTCACTTTATAGAGGGAAAAAGTCTGTTATATTTACACGTGTATCAGTTCAGCCGTTTCTAAAATATAATTAATATTCAGAACTTTTTAATTACATTTCGAAAGCACTCCCGAAACTGAAAATTTATTCACTTCAAACCGGCGAAAAGTCAGTTATAATTTCATGAATATCAGTTCAACAGTTTCTAATTTAGAAATAGTATTCATGCATTTTTAAATTCAACTCAAAAATTCTCCCAAGTATCCCAAAAATTCTCCCAAACCTAAAATTTTAAATACTCAAAAACATAAATGCTGTTCAAATTCCAGGAATTTTAGTTCAGCCGTTTCTGAAATAAAATTAGCATAGATAACTGTTTAAATTAAACTTGACAATTTTCCTAAGTCTAAAACTTGAGTCACGCCGGAAAGACCGCCGAAATTTCAACGAAAATCAGCTCAGAAAATCCGTTACTGAAATAAAATTAGCACGAATAAATTTCTATATGAAACTTGAAATTTTACTAAAATTAGAAATTATATAATACTTTAAAAAGGCAAAAATGCTGTTCAATTTCCACGAGTTATAGTTCAGATGTTTTTGAAATAGAATAACTATCAATAACTGTTTGAACTTAACTCGAAACTTCTCCCAAATCTACAAATCTATTCATTTCAAAACCGGTAAAATACTTCAAATTTCGCAAGAATCAGTTAAACCATTTCCTAAACATTACTCTAAATTATTGTTATTATATACAACTTAATAATTCTCCTAAACCAACGAATTTATTCACTTTAAAACTGCGCAATAATGCTGTTCAAATTTCGCGACTTCAGTTCAACTGTTTATGAAATTTAATTTTTATAAATAACTTTTTAAATTTATCGAGTAAATTCCCCATAACAAAAAATTGAATTAATTTAAGTGTCATTAATGCTGATCAATTATCGTTTCTGAAATAAAATTAGCATAAATAATTTTTTAACTGTAGCATCAGCTGTTTCCATTCAGTGGTTTCCTAAGTTTCCGTTCAAAACTTGAATGATTTAACTCAAAATATCACTTCACTGGAGGATTTCATCCGCTTTTGAACTGTACAGTGGCTGCATAAATATATACATGGATGAACATTTTAGAATTAGTGTTCTGATGAATCATCTCTACGATGATTCGACACCGAATATCCCCTAACTCGAGGACTTCATTCACTTCCTAATTGCACAGCGGCTACATTAATGGCCTAGATATCAGTGCAGCTGCTCCATTTACTTCAATTATAATGGGAGGCAGTTAAGCCGTTTCAAAATTTCATTTATGGTTATAACTTTCATGGTTCGATGACAGTTGTATTTTAAAATGATTTTTAGATTAATAACGTCTCAGATTGAACTTGAATAGTCTCCCAAAGTTAGAAATTTATTCACTTTTAAACGGCAAAAATGCTGTTCAAATTTCACGGCGGTCAGTTCGCCCGTTTCTAAGTAGAATTAGTATAGATAATTTTTCAGGAAGTCTTAACGGTGTGATTATTTTCTAATTCAGTAGTTGCTCCAAATTTTCTTTGGAAATTTAAAACACTTAAAACTTTAAATAAGTTCTAGATTAAACTCTCGCCAGAAGATAACAGCGAATATCATGTATCAAAAGAATGCAAAAGATAATTTGTAAATAGAAAATATGATTAAAACTTACTGTAGCTAAGCCTGTCACAAAATATTCATTGATTCACTGTATTTCTTCAATGACTCACAATTCACAATTAAAGACAATCATTCGCCGGTTCCAGTATTAAGTAGGCTTGATTTGACCTCCATATATTATAACAGTTTCTCGCGGGATTAAAAATTGTAAAAAAGATAGACGCGATGACTTAGGTAAAACACAATAAGATAAATATATTAACAAGAGCCTATTACTATATCTACCCACTTCTACTTTTTTGGAGATGATGTAGGATTGTACGTAGATAGCCGCGCTCTGAACGCTTGTAAACATTCGGTGCGTTTTACTAAAATGTTTACACTAAAGACCGTAGATTTTTTAGATGATATTGAATGTGTTTTCATTTCCTGGTTGATCGAACGGCAAGCTATGGAAGCGTCCTGCTATAACCAGTTTGCGGTGGTTGATAACTTAATCGCTGGTCCTATAATCTTCTTGTGGTGAGTCTCGCAAATGTGAAATTGTCATGGCCTTTCAGAGCTGTTTAAGCTAAGGGTTTAATGTGAGACAATGACAGTTTGAAAGGACTCTGCAAAAATATGTTGTGTTGCACGTAGATATATTCTTATTATGCCTCTTTCAATTCTCAAAAATTTCCCGGTAAACTGAATGGTAAAATAATATCGGATAAACGTACGTCTTATTAAAAGCTCTTTATGTTACATACATATGATGTTTTATACGACATTAACTATTTACTTATACGAAAAACTCCTCGAGCTTTCATGAATTGTATTGATACCAGATGTAATAATCAAATCAAAACTAATAACACCCAATTGGAATTTTTTCTTCTGGCGTAATTTTTTTTGTTTCTACTATTATTAAATGAATTAAAATTTTCAATGATAATAATTGATTACTGAATGGTTTATAGTTTAGATATATCAAAAAAATTGTCAACTGAATTTCATGAGAATTTTTCATGCTCAAATTTTAAGATGCAGTATTATGTCTTTAACGTGTCTTTAAATTATAGGCATGATACTGAAGATATCCTGCCTACTCTTCCTACTTTTCTTTGCTTCCTCTATACTTTTTCTTGACAAGAGATAATGTTTAAACTGAAATACGTTAATATTATAAAATATAGTGCCAATTCACATTTAAGTCAGTAAAAACATATTAGCACAGAGTTGATCAACGCGCAAAAAAGCATGCATTTTCAGCGTTGTTTCCAAATTAGAGCGAAAAACATTTCCTAGCAGTAAATTCCACCAATGCAAATATCATCAGTTGTATTAGAACAATAAACATTGAAATAACATTTCTAGGACAGCGACTAGATTTGTGATCTTCAGCGAGGTTTGACGTTACGTTTCTCAATGACCCTTGGAAGACGTTGCTATATTCAGTTCGACGTTGCATCAGTATTGCTGGTCTCCCTAGGTTCACCAGCCGTACTAGCAACTGATCCAACGTCGCGCTTTGAACGTCGCAGGCGTTAGGAGCCTTTTGTGTCTACCACAGATCTTCTCCTGAAATTATTAGAGTAAAATAAGATAAAAATTTTTATTCATTCATACAAATTCAGCAATTACAGTATTTAATACGGTATTTGAGATGTTGGTATATTTTTTCTGCCCCTTTGTGAAGAGGTTTAAGATCAATGGTAAAAAGTTAGTGAATACAACAACCTTTGGATATTGATACACGTTTCAATACTTACTTTCATTTCATCCTAAACCTGCTTCTTCTTTAAAAAATTCTAAGAAACGAACAGAATTTTCGTTTTCCGTCTGTTTCATCATATTCATCTTGCAAAAATAAAGTTTTCACTGAATGTTCTTGGGTTCCTAATTTATTTCGAAAACTAATTAATTTTTTAATTGCTTCTTCAATACTTATAACGAACCAATCATTTTTAAGACATTTCTAAGTTAATTTACCTATTTCTTTTGACATAAATAATTATATTTTATTTCAGTCCCCGATGAACTTTAGGCAGAGAGTGTATGCATGTCAACAGTAGCATGGCATATTACCTGCCTGAAATAAATTATTTATTCTTCATCACTTAAAAATATTCCATGTCAGATCCGTGCAATATATAATATGGCACGATGAATGAGAGGATATTTTTTATAGCGAACGCGTTTATTTTGCACAAGTAGGTTTTGAATTTGGTCAGCGTAATGAATTCATGTATTACGTATCTGTGCATCTCAGTCCCACCCATTTTTTATGCTCAAACTTCAACTCCTCAACCCTATGCACCGCACCCTGCCACCCCCCCCCAGGGACCGTCAATATAAAGGCGAGTGACAGAGGCACTCTCAACAGTTCTGCTCGGCAGTCCCTGTAAGAGCCACGCAGGCCATCGCGCTCCCATATCCACTCGGCTGCAGTGCCTCGACTTTGTTACGCCGCATTCAGTCGACAGTGCCTCTAGAGCTGCCACGCTAGTGTCTCAAACTACTATCAATAGTGATTATTAAAGCGATCTTTAATACCATTGAAGGTCTGAATCCAATCGAGCTGTATTAATTCAGAATTGTTCTCCAGTCGTCGTAAGCTGTGTTATTTCCAGCTTTTAAAAATGGCTTTTTCATTCTTCAGCTTCCTGGACCCCACTGAGAAGTATTGAAACCCTACTTCTATGCTCCCACAATAATTCTTATTTATTATCTAACATTCTCCAGCTGCCAACGCCGCAAGATTGCCGTCGATTTCGGCTTCATTAACAAAAACGATGGTTTACTTCATCATGCAATACCTGGACCCAACGGAGAAATATTGAATTCCTTGGTGTCGTGATAATTGACACCACGAATTCAATAAGTCATTGGTCCCCGATTGCCGGTGCGACTGCGACATTAGACGATGAGCTTCTTGGTAAATTTTGGTGTTTCCATCCAACTTGATGTCAACTTCCAGCAATGGGACCCAACCCGAAGAAGACCGTGAAACATTACCATAGTGCCTTTTTTCCAAACCATGTCACCACCAAGAAGAAGATGAAGTCAAAGAAGCAGGAAGTGTTGGCGGGGTCGGCCACTAGACTAAAGGCTGTCGTGCCTTGCGCCGGACGTTGAACTCTGTCTGCAGCAGCACTCCTCTTTCCTTGGTGAGTTTTATGAATATCAGTTCTGGGGTTTAAGGTTTAATAATTGGGTATTTTCATCGATTACTTTTATCTGTCATCGATTACTTTTATCTGTCACAGATTACTTCCATCTGCTCTGTCTTTTCGGATGGCAAAGTTTGATATTATTACAGTGTGTATGACGTAGAACATTTAGTGAATTCACGAATAGTAGAACTAGTGTTATATCCTATTGTTCTCTTTCTTATGTTGCTGTTAGACTATACCGCAAGCAATCGTGTGAAAATCCGACCAATGTTTGAGGTTTTTTGTTTATTAGAATATGCAGAAGAAGTTATACACATATATGTACAAATATTATTTTATAATATGTTTCCCCTATTATATAAGACGTAGCAATAAACACATTCAACTGAAATTTTAATGGAAATATTTTTCTTCCATTTATTCAGGTGCTCGCTGACAGACACGTGATGGCATCCGAAGCGCCGGGATGAGGAGCGTCTGATGGTTGACTCAGATATCTTCTTGGCCACTCGAAGATTCTGTAGCCACCTCAGACATCTTTGTGGCCACCTCTGACATCTCTTTCGGCTACTGCGAACGTTTGTCTAGCCACCTCTGCCATCCTCTGGGCTACTTCGAACGTTTGTTTGGCCACCTCTGCCATCTTTGTGGCTACTGCGAACGTTTGTGTGGCCGCCTCTGACACCTTTGTGGCTAAATCAAACGTTTGTGTGACCATCTCTGCCATCTCTGGATTTACCGCGAAGGTTTGTGTGGCCACTTCTGAAATTTTGTGGCTACTTCGAACGTTTGTGTGGCCACCTCTGCCATCTCTGGAACTATTTCGAAAGTCGTGTGGCTGAAAGTTTCTCGGTCGAACCCTACTTAGAAATATGCCACAATAAAACGCGAGGACTTTCAATGTTGAATTATCTTTATTATTTTCACTCATATATATGAACATCAAGCCTACTTACATCGATGTAGGTTATTTCATATCTAGGCGAATATTAAACTTGAATATCGTCTGAAAATTTGATTCGAAAATATGTTTGGATAAATGATTTTAAATCAATTTGTTATTAAATTCGAGTAAGTATGCGTGGTCGCAAATCTAAAGTATATGTTGGGTCTTTATATAGTTGCATTGGTTTTCTGGGTATATTAGTGAAGGTTATGTCTTCAATAGGCCAAGTTTACTAACATGCTTGTTATTTCTCCTGGACAAAAAGGGTTTATCTTACTAAGTTCTTGGTAAAAGTTGTACCTTACTATGTTCTTTGTAATTAAGAATGATTACATTAGTATTGGTTAATAGCTTCACACGCGTCAAATTTCGAGAGCTCGACATCCGGGTTTCCACTCGTCCATTTATGGTACAAATACCGAGTCATTTACAAAGCTGTCGCAGCAGATGTTTGATTGCTTAAGTACGAAGTTATCATAAGCTTGGTTTGAATCACAACCAATTAATATAGTTAAAGAATTTTCGAGATAAAATTAATAATGCCATGTCAACTGACACAAACAAGTTTGATCGGATAAACGAAAATATGTTATTTACCGCCCAGCTGTTGGACGCTCGGTACAAGAGGACAGTAATGTTCATCAAGATCAATTTAATGTCTCTTTGAGTGCTATTTAGTACAAGTCACAATTATACATTTAGTCTTCTACCATAACTCTTGTCGATTCTCGTGCCTGTACGCTTTACTTGTTAATGTTGTTTATCATGTTTTGTTGATTTGTGAAAGAATTTGATCTTTGTTTATCGGCATTACTAGTGATAACTTCCCACAATAGAAGCAATTTTTATTTGCAGAAAAATACATTTTTCATTTTGGAACTCGCTCGCCTTTGTGGTGCACTAACCAATGTCGCTTATTATTCAAAATATCTAATGGTTTCGGTTTGAATTTCATTTTTTAGTTTCTGTATTTTCAACAGTATCTGTGATATAAAGGGTTTTACAAGTTATTTATGATATAAATATCTATATATACGAGATTTTTTGTTCATAGACGAAGTATAAAGATATTTTTGTTTTTATTTGTGTTTTTGTGCTGTTATCAAGTTGAACAGATGTTGCGTCGTTTTGGAATTCTTCAGTTCTCGATCAACTCGTTCTCTGTTCAACAAACTGCCAGGATCTAGTGATGATTTCTTGTTGAATGCTGTACATGCAGATTTTTATTATATTAACATATTTTTCTATAATAGATGAATTTAAATGTAATAAATATCATCCAATCAACCGAATATTTTTATTTCAATTTGACCTATGATAGAAAACTACAATCTATAGGATGAGAATTGGACTTAACGATGAGCAATGATTAATACTCACTCCTACTTAGGGGAATTTTCATAAAATTTCATCACAATCTCCTGGTTTCCCGAAGAATGTGATGAACTCCTAGAAGTGATGATTCACAACGAATAATATTAAAGCGGGCCAATGCATCGGCCGTGGGAAGTGTTAAGATAGATCTACTTCCGCCAAACAACTCCACTCACTACTTACTAACAAGACATTATAGCCTCATACAACAATGAACATTGGACATTTGCACTCAACATTCAATGTTGACATTCGCACTCAATATAAACTCACACAATATTAAATTTTACTATAATTCACAAGGATCGGTCACCGAGTCTGCGGAAATTAGAATTTTCAACAATTGATGGCTCTTGAGACTTCGAATCAACTGCTGCTTGTCAACAACCAGAGTAAATTCTAATTAAATTTAATTTTTGATTCAAAATTACGCGTATTTTCTTAATGCTCAAATCAAATGGTCTATAAAGAGAAATTTTCCAGCGAAAATTTTGGTTAGATGGAATGCAAAGGATCGAAGCGATCACGAAATAAAGTGAACATTATTATATTACGCTGCGGGATGTTGATAGAATTTAGGAACTTGGGAAAAAACAGTAAAGTATTTGAAAAATGTTGTGTAGATCGATTTCGTATGCTAAAAACGTCTATCAATAAGAAAACAATTTCTACCCGAATTCTAAAAGTTATTTCATTTCATTTGAAAGATTGAAGCACTTTGAGGGTGTCTTACACATTTTTACGAACAAAATTGTTTCTATCTCTTCAAACTGCTTACAAAACATTATAAAATATTTCTAAAATTGAGGTGATCTGCCAATTTATTCAACCAGTTTTCAAACTAAAAAATCTTTATTTTATAAAATACAAAATTTACGATAAAAGTCTCTGAAGCCAACCATTTGATATAAACTATGGTACCGATACAATCACAATGGTTAAAACATTGGTGTGAAATTAATATTTAAGATAATTCATCAGAAAATAACAAGGGAAAACATTTCCAATTCGAATCTAATTTCTTAAGTGAAAACGAGCGACACACGCATGGACAATTAAACTCATAAGTTGGGGAGAATCAAAGTCATATTAAAAGAATAGGTGTGTGTTTTTTAAAAGCCAGATCTAAAATAATGTATGTGATGAACATATTTCCATTGAATCGCTTTAATACAAAATTCACAGAAATTGGTCATATAACAAAATCGGTTATTCAACGACTTCATAAGCTTAACTTTGGTAAGAATGTCATTCAGAATTTTGCCTCAAAGTTACTGAATATATTTTACTGATATTTTCGTTAACTTAAATTATGATACATTGATGTACAGATGATGAAAACATCATTTTTCAATGTGTGGAAAGAAAAAGAAAAAAGAAAGAAAGTTAAAAAAAATTAAAAGCACGTTAAAAGAAAAGGAATTTGCCCGACGTGGCGCATGACAATCTTGCGTAACTCTACGAAGATGTGGCGAGCTATTTTTGGCGTCTGCATCCGAACGACCATGGAAAGTTCATTGAATCGCGGATACGAACTTCGCGCGGCCGCTTACACCTTTTGTCGGCGCAGACATGTGAGGCTTGTCCGGTAGTATGAAATAACTGCCCGTGTAAAAACTCTAATTCCGCATATTCTTCACTGCGGTAAATTGCACGCTACGTTGTCTAGAAATAGGTATGGTTTTAGTAATATGCTGACGTTACTGCGGTCATGCACTTAACTTGGTGAAAACTGTTTCTAGTTTTTGGCAATTATGTACTTAGATGTCCTTTTGTTTATTCATGCTTATATCACTTGTCCAATTTAACATCCTATTCTCGAGCAGTAGAAAGAATTCGATTGGTTTTGTATGGAACTAAAGACATAACTTAACTGGCTTCTAATATATCAACTAAAAATATTAGTTCTATACTTTTTTGAACAAGAATTTCCGTTTACCTTCAGATGAGATAGACATTAATGCCTTTACATGAACGTGAATGTTCTTAAATAAAATCCCACATTGGTATTTTACAAAATGTATATAAAATGATAATTCACAAAATAAATGGTAATTCTATTCTCCAGTACGAAATATATTGACTATCTATGCAAGCTGCTTTGAAGTGCAATTACTTGTTAGTTTCAACTTTGTTTTGCTTGTGTTTAGAAAGTTTTCAGGATTTTCCGCCCCGACTCGACGGCCGCGGCTAAGTGAAGCTATTGCCTCACTACATAGTGAACTTTCTTCAGGCGACATGACTTTCTTTTACGTGCGTTTGCACGCACATTACATTAAAATTTGACAAAAGCGTGTCAACTTTTAACAGTTTTCAGGTGGTTAAACTGGCTAATCATATATATATAAATCATACGCATTTAATATATAGATATGTAATAGATATGACTAAAAATAATTTTTGGACGTTTGAAAAATAAATTAAGAAAATATTTTGTGGGCATTTTATATTATGAATGACTAATTCATGCTCAAACCTCATAGTATTGTATGTGGTAATAATATTTTAATATCTGTTTTATTCTAACATAGTTTCAAGAAACTACTTTATTGTTAGAAATTTGTTTCTATTTTAAATTTTTTCGAACTCCAGAATGCCAGGTGTAACTGACTGCCCTCTCCCCCCTGGCTAGGCAAGATGTGAAGGAGGGGCAGAATTGGTCACGTACGCTTTATTTGCTGCACTGAGCACGGAAAAATTCGTAAAATCGGTCAATTTTTTAACAATTCGAAGACATGAATGCAGTTCATTATCGCGAAATGACAAAGGAATTCGTATCTTAATGTGCTTATAATTCCCGCGTAACTAAATACAGTAAGATAACTCTTGAACCTTTCGAATCCGTAATAATAAAAAATAAGTGTTCCAAGATTGTAGATTGTATCGTTACGTCTGGATATTCTAATAACATCTATCATAGTTGTGGCCTACAATTATTTTAAAACTTGAGGATTTTTACTTCGTATTTACTTCGAGGTCATTAATTTTATTTATTTATTTCATTTGTTAATTAATATTTCGAGTATCCTAAAATTCTTGGTAAAATAACTTGCACTTTGGGGTATAGGATCAACTAAACGATATTGCAATAAATGCCTCTGTCTCTGTTACCCTGGTCTCTGTTACCTCTGTTTCTGTTACCCCTGTCTCTGTTACCCCTGTTTCTGTTACCCCTGTCTCTGTTACCCTTGTCTCTGTTACCCCTGTCTCTGTTACCCTTGTCTCTGTTACCCCTGTCTCTGTTACCCCTGTCTCTGTTGCCCCTGTCTCTGTTACCCCTGTCTCTGTTATCCCTGTCTCTATTACCCCTGTCTCTGTTACCCTTGTCTCTGTTACCCCTGTCTCTGTTACCCTTGTCTCTGTTACCCCTGTCTGTTACCCCTGTCTCTGTTGCCCCTGTCTCTGTTACCCCTGTCTCTGTTATCCCTGTCTCTATTACCCCTGTCTCTGTTACCCCTGTCTCTGTTACCCCTGTCTCTGTTACCCCTGTCTCTGTTACCCCTGTCTCTGTTACCCTTGTCTCTGTTTTCTACAAGTAATTTTCATTTTTAACCTTAATTTGAATTTACTTTTTTTAAAGCACCATCATATTTTGATAACGGATGACTAGATATTCGTTAGAAATACGTGCAATGAGGACCTATAGCTCAATAATCCATACTTTCTCTCGTAGGCTTTTTCCATCACTCCGTCTGCAGAAAGCGATCCTGAAATAACCAGTCTGGTATCGTGCTATTTCAGAATCAAGGAAACGCGATTACCTAACAGCAGAGTTTGTACCCCGACTATTTCCCGGGTCGTTGGCACTGCCAGGGTTACTCGCTGCCAAACAAACAGGATCGCGTAAGAGGATCCGAAGAAGCTGAAGTTGTACTGCAACTTCCTCATTCCGCTTCCTGCATCGCGGCACGAAGGCTTCGTTCACGCCATGAACTCGCCAGAGTTCATCGCATTCGTAATACAAGGACGCCTGCAAGAATGGTAAGAGGAATCAAGTGACATCAGCTGTGAATGGCGTAGTATTGGAGACACTGACATGCAGCAAGTAAATAAAGGCCGTTAAGTGCCCAAGGCTTCATCAAGGTAGAAAAACTACTTGATGCATAAAGCGTTAGATATGGAAGAGAATATTGCGCTACTCATCTAAAATAAACAAATTTTTACTGGCCAAAATTCGATCACTCGCGACAGTGACAGGAAATTTGTTTTACTTAAGAGATTGAAACGAATTAAGGTGTTTTACTGCTCGCTAATATCGATCTTGCTCGATTGAAATAAGACATTAATTATTTGGACAATAATTCAACATATCAGCACGGGTCATTGCACTCTGATGTGAAAGAAATTATTAATACAAGTTTGGTCTACGTCATCTGTTTGGATGTGCACAGAACCAGTCTCCAGCATACCATTATCCCTCACAGTCATTCATGCTCGGGAAGTCGT